AATACGGTGTTATCAACTCCCCCAGACTTAAACCTTTGTTTGTCCTCAAACAAAGCAAAAGCCTAAACTGGTTAAGTGAAAACAAAAATAGGAAATGCACAAATCTCATAGACATGAACTCTAAATTAGGACCAAAGATAGTGCATCAATCCACAACTTAGTCTAGAAAATTCTCACCAAAGCACAAGAGATACTAGTCCATTTTTTCCGTCATGCAAAACTTAAACAATTTAAATCTTGATTTCAGTCAACTAGCTCTCTACATTCATTAAGTTCAATAGTGAGTTCTCATTAAAGACATCATCCAGGGTAGACGGCGTTTGGCATTAAAGGGCTATTTAAGTGGTGGAGTTAAAGTGTTTCGGGTTACCTGAAGATCTGGAGGATGCAAGATAATATGCAAAACAGCAAGAGAGATAAGGACCTGTTGATGACCACAGTTTTCAGTCACTTCTTCTTGCCAAATGTTGTTGCATAATCCTTCCTCCTTTGTTGTAAACAGCTGTTCCCCCAGACTTAGATTCTTTCCGGGAATCAGAAAACAATCTCCAAAACTCCATAAAATCAAACTCTAGTTGCCTTGGGACTTAAAATTCGACCTCTCTAGACTCTCTAAGGCTTTTATTTCCTTTCTTTTCTTATTTTTGGATTTTTTTTTTTTGGAAAGGAAATGCCTTTTAAAGAGAGAGAGACTAGAGGACGAGATTGTACCAAAATTTGAGATTTTTCTAAGGAAAACTGAGCTTCCTCTTGTGTCGAATCCTTCCGGGAACTATTCCGGCAAATCGCAGTTCTCTGTCCTTGGTGATTGAAAACTGCGTCGTTCCTCTTTCTCTCTAACGTTTTTGCACTTATCTGCATATAAGACAATAGAAAACAAGAGTGCATGTGGTTTGAAAGAGGATTGGTTAAGGTGGGGAACTAGCTAAAGATGAACTAGCCATTCAGGATCAACGGAGAGTGGTAAAAGGATAAAGGAGTCCTGAATGTATGATTCGTTTCCCTGGTCTAATGCTTCAATGAGAAAATTAAGTCCAAATTAAGTCCAAATAAAACAGAGCTAGTGTATCCCTTCATCTAAATCGAAATCATTCAAATTCCTCTGGAGTACTTCGTTTCAAATGTGTTTAGCTACCGCCTAGTCTAGTCCTAAATCATGAATGAGCATGTCACTAGGAACAGTCTAAGGGCACACAGTCAACTATCATTGATTTATGTTCACCATTCCCTTTAAAACATATTTTGTTTTGAAAACCGATTTTGAAAAACTTTAAGGAAAATGGAAAAAGTGTAGATAATGCAAGACTCATGAAAGAAAAGTGGTTAGAAAGGATGAAATCCTCCCCCAGACTTAAATCACACTGTCCTCAGTGTGAAAAAATCGAGATTGGATGAGAAAAATGCATAGATAATCGAATTGGTAAGGACAAAGAGTACTTACCTGGATCCGGGATGCTGGTGGAAATGAACCGGATTCATTCGAAGGGGTTTGGGAAGGTGATTAGGTGGTGATGAAGGTGGTGGAAGGTGATGAATGAGGTGGAGGTGATTGGTGAGGTGGAATGGGGTGAAAGGGGTGGTTTGGGTCGGGTTTGGATCTCAACGACCAAGTGCCGCGGTCAGGGGCTGCACGACCGCGGCAATCAAGCACTTGGCCGCGGTCAGGACTACGCGACCGTGGCCGACAGTAGGTTTCCCGCGGTCAGAACGTCTGCGACCGCGGGGGTTTATATCGCGACCTCTTCCTGCTTCTCCTTGGTTCCTGCTGGGCCGAGCAGTCAGGTACCATCTTTCTTTTTGGTTTTTCCGGGTTTTTGATTTTTTTGGCTTTTTTGTTTTATAAGAAACACCTGAAACTAAGAAAAAGAAAGAGATCAAAAGAAAAAGAAAGAAAAATCCTAAAGAAAACAATACCTAAATGGGTTGCCTCCCATTAAGCGCTTCTGTTTTAAGTCGTTTAGCTCGACTTTTGGTATTGGACGTGACTTATTCCAATGAAGAAGACCTTGTCCTGAGACAAGTCTTTTCGACATCTCCTTGCTTTGCTTAGCAGGTTCTTCGTCACTCCAAAGCTCTTCTTTAAATTCTTCTATTGCAGAACGTTTTCCTGCCTTGCTGTTGTATGGAACAGCTTCTGTGAAGACATCTTTGTCGATATTAGCAAATGAAATCCTCCGGTTTGGCCAGTCCATTATAGCTCTGGAAGTTGCTAGAAAAGACCATCCCAGAATCACTGGATATGTTGCATCTCTCGTTTCGACAATGTAGAAGTCGACAGGCACTATGCAATCTCCTATTCTCAAAGGAATTTCATGAGCTATTCCTTGAGGTGTTGCATTTGAATCATCAGCTAGGCTAATCTTTGCTCTAGTCCTGCGCAGGTGTCTAATACCAAGTCTCAAAGCAATTGCCTTGGACATCATGTTAAGACAAGCTCCAGAATCATATAGCACGTTTTTAAACATTTCTCCTCTAATAGAACAAGAGATAAGAAACTGACCTGCACCATCGATTTTGTGAAGTGTTCGAACAGGTTTACCTCTTCTGGCATGATTGAACAAGTCTTCTATCTCAGGGATTGATTCTTTGCTCTCACAGTAGTATTGGCCTATCATAAAGTCCTTGCAAGCTTTGGCAAACGTGATTCCTTCAGGCAAATTTCGAACCACATCATTGAATTCGTCGAGCTTTTCCTTGCTGATTTTGTTGGTGTAGTGGCTGCAGTCTTCCGGATTTTTAAGGTGAATCGCATAGACAGCTGCTTCTGGTGTTGTCATGTATCGAGCTCTCATAAAGTATGTATGGATATCCTCTTTAGACTCCTTGCAGTACCTGAAAAAGACTTGCAAACGACCAAGTTTCCAGATTTCTTCAAAGCTTAAATGAGCAGGGAATGACCTGACTACGTTGTTGAACTCCATTAGTTCCGCTCTACTGATGTTGTTGGTGATCCATTGAATTTCTCCTGAGTCGTCTTCTGAGGAATATCCTGCGTTTGGATCTTCTACAAACAACCCATACTCTTCATCTTCAGAGTATTTCTCTTCATACTCATCTTCACAAGACAAAGCCATGTTGCAAGGCCATGACTTGTCCTCTTCTTCAGATCTTTGGGTGCTAATGGAGCAAACCAGTTGTTGATGGAGTGGTTTAGTCATCCCAGGAGGTGTACCAGATCCACAGATGCTTGTATGAGCTGAACGGGACTGTTTTGGAACGTTTTTCCGGTGGGCCCTGACTGCAGGTGACGCGACCGCGGGGAAACGACCATGGGCCGCGGGTAGACCCATCACGATCGCGGGAACTGGCTTCCTGGCCGCGGTCGGAGGCGACGCGACCGCGGGGATTCGTCTCCGAGTTGCTCTGCTGCTATTGCTTCCTCCTTTGCTTCCTGGATGGTCTCCTAGGTCTTCTAGCTTGATGTACTTCCTCTCTGGACTTGAGTATTTAGTTTTGGTTGCTGGAATATGCTCTCCAAGTCCTTGCATGATCTCCTCAACCTTTTCTTCAACTTCATCAAGAGCATAGACTACTTTGTCCATGGTTGAGTCAAGCTCTTCGGTTTTGTCGATGACTTTGTACACCTTCTCTGAAACTTCGACTGTAAAGTCATAAGACTCCTTCTTAGCTTCGTTTAGGGCTTTGTCCACGTCATCAAGCTTGAAATCCAGGTCCATGACTTTGTTTTTGGTGTTGCGAAGCTCATAGTTGTGCTTTGCTTGCTCTTCCTCCATGTCATAGTTTTGCTAAAGCTTTAAAGAAAATCGGTGTAAAACAATGAAGAAGAAAGCGTTGGGGTTCAGGGAAGTTTTATCAGGGGTACGAACGATTCAAAACATTGCTAGAGAGTAAAATTGATAAGATCTTAGCTTAAACTTTTCGAATTGGAGTCACAGACGTATGAATACGCCACTGTCGTGATCATAGACAACTATCTCTCTCAACCCTGACCAGTAGGTTTCCACTCTGGCCTTGGAAGAGAAGAGATGCATTATGTTTAAGACTCGTCCTAATTCACAAATTGCCCATAGGTAGGTTTCCACTCCTATGTTTGTTTTGCTCTCCCAAACTAGATCTGATACCTGATGAACACTTTCGTGTCACCAAGCATCTGGATCAGATTGTAGTTCATGACGCTACTCTCATGCAGTAAAAACGAATTCAGAAGAAAAAGTTCTAAGATTCGGCTCAATAGCCAATGGAATCCTCATCGAACATATGTATCCCCATCGAAAATCCCTTAATCCCAACAATAAAACTACTCAGACATAATGAACGAAATTAAAGACATAATATTAAGAAGTAGAATAGAAACCGAAATTGAAAAAGAAAGAACAAGGGTTCAAGAGAACAAATCTCTCTCTCCCTAAAAGCTAAAGCAAAAACAATAAAAGTATGAATTAAATAATTCGGTTCTCTAAGGTTGCCCGAATAGGAACATCCTGGTGTTACCATATAGGAACATCCTGGCGTTTCTTTCCAGGAAGGGGAGGTGCAGAAGGAGAAGAAGAAGAAGATTAGGAGTTAATAGTCTCAGATGTTCCCTTTATCATGCTCTCGATTCGGATTTTTGAATAAATAAATTGCTCGTGGGATCGTGTTGTTTGCACATTTAAATTTATTTTGAGGATATTGGTTTGGTTACAGTTATTAAGAATTGGTTGAAATTAAATTAGGTTTGAGGATTTCGGTTTGATATTAATCGGGTTGCTCTTTGATTGTTGGGTAACTGTCTAATCGGTTATTAAATTAGCATTTTTAAAACGACGCGTGTGCTTGATAGTTGAGCTAGTCGTATATAGAGAAACGCATAATTTTTATTGTGAGTCGACACAATTAATGCATGCACTGGATCACTTCTTCTTCTTAAATATCACTCCCTGACCTTTCATAACACAACACTATCACTGAGAAAGAAACCCTAAACTTCCAAAATAACTCTACAAAATGGCGTCTATTCCAAACAATCCTCATCCGGCGGCTGAACCACGTCCCGAGCAATGGATGCGTCGCTACCTGAGCGAACTCCAGCGAAACCCTTCTCCGATATACTCCGTCGGGTTGGAGGCGGAAGACCCGTACATGTGGGCGGCGACGATCACCGGTCCGCCGGAAAACCCATACGAAGGGGGTATCTTCAACCTGCGCATCATTTTCCCGCTGCAGTGCACTTCTGGACCCCCAACTTCCACCCCAATGTGAGCGACCGCGACAACATCTTCCATTCGATGCTCATGTCTGATACGTGGTGCATCGCGACTTCAGTGGCCCAAATGTTGATGACTCTGGCCCAGATGCTCTTGCATCCGCTGGTGGGTGAGGGCGACGTCGTCAGGGAGGAGGTGGCGGTGATGTACCGGAAAGATAGGGCCCGCTATAAGGAACTCGCGCGTATCTTCACCAGGATCCGCGCCGGTTAATCCATGGCGGGACAAAATTTTAGTAATGTTATTTTCTGTTTTTTGGGTTTTTTTTATTTTATTATGAACTTTAATTATGTATTTTTATTATATCATGTTATTATGTTTTTTGTGATTAATTGAAAAATTTCACAAAATTTTGGGTGTGTTAACGATAAAATAGAAACCCTCATAACTCTAACATCTGATAAGAACTCTAATAAATGGAGAATTAGGTAGTCTCTGAAAACATCAAAAATTCGTAGTTAAATCTGATAAAATTAATAATAAATTCTTTAATATTACTTAGGGTTTGGCTTGGTAGTTTTTAGATTTGGTAGTTGTACCAGTTTAACATTGAAAATGGACACATTTATTTCTATTTATTAACGATTACGTATGAAGACGTCACCAAGCACCGCCTCGCTTTTCTTTAACTATCCCACTTCTCATTTCATTTAATTTCATTCATTGTAACATCTATTTATTTTATTTTCGTCAGAAACCCTAATTTTCAATAACTGTCAATATCGTGCAACTTTGAGAAACTAGAATAATTGGGAGTATTAAAAAATTATTATAACTTGTACCAATAAATAAATTATCTAAATAGATATTTAGTTGAACACAAGATAAACTATAAATTATCTAAATATATATTTTGCAGAAGAATTTATAACTAACATCAATTAAAATAGTTTGAAAACATCATAATTATTATAATGCATAAACTAAATAAAAAAACACCAAACGAGTTTAAGTAAACATAACAGAAGGGAAAAAGGAGGACATCACTCCTTAAAATCTAGAACTTATATTAAGAAATAATAAAAAGATAATCTCGTAGAATTGTCATTTATGCATTCCCCAGTCCATCTCTTCTTGCATCCTCCATCGTCTCAATATAATATTATTTAAAATATTACTTTTAAATATTTGATACGTATCTTCCAAAAAAATAGCCATCAACAATTCAACATTGTCCGTTTTTAGAATCTATAGCGATGCGGTGCTTTAGGGTTTCAAAAGGCGATTTCAAAATTCTCCTCACGGTAGCTGCTGGATCTCGTCACCCTCGCCGTTCATCGTCTCCGTCGTGCTAATCTACGTGCCCCTCACGTCCTTTACGTTTGCGTAGCGTCTCCTTACTGTAGTTTGCAGTTATTTTGTCTCAGGTTAATTCGCTTATGCACGCTCCCTTTGGTTTTCTCGGGCTCGTTACGTTTCAATGAATCATCGCTACTCTTGAGAGAAGAAAGGCAAGGATGTAGCCTCTTCTCATCGTTGGATCAGAGATCCTCCAATACGCCTCCCAGATGAATCGAACCCCGATCTCATTGAAGCAAATCAAGTAACCCTAATCGTTCGTGTTCTCAACCCAAGCGTTCAGAGAACAAAGGCGCTAATCGGTTTTATGCCTCAAATGTCACGTATGGAAGAGAAGATTGTTTGGAAAGATCAAGGAACTGAGAAGTTCCACTTCAAATCCAAGACAGAAGAGGATCTCCAAGCAGTACTAAACGAAGCCCCCTTTCACTTTAAGCGGTGGATGTTTGTGCTTCAGCGCTGGGAACCAGTAATTTCTGATGCCTTTCCATCGACCATTCCCTTTTGGATTATAGTTCATGGAATTCCGGCTCATTGCTCCACCGAGAATAATCTTAAAGCAATTGGTAATGTGATGGGAAAGTATTTGGCTCATGATGTCGATGAAGCAATGGTCCGTGTTGAAATCAATGCTCTGAAGCCCCTGATTAAGAGGAAGGCGATTCAATTCCCTTCAGGTGTAGAGGTTTCTGTAGTATTTGAATATGTCAGATTGGAGAAACACTGCTTCCTTTGTATGCCTCTGAGCCACGAAAAAGAAGACTGCCCACACCAGACTAAAAATCGAGACTCTGATCTGCAAGGAACCCACATCAACAGTCAGCAGACTCTTCAGAGACTTGAAGATGATAGGCAAAAGAAGGATGATCACAGAGGCCGTCCTCAGGCATCGTGACAAGATCCCTTTTTTCACTTGCAGTCTCGACAGGTGAATCCTCCTCTGCAACAAAACCGATCTGAAACCAACAAGTCAAGGGACAGAGACCCTGTCCGAGGAGACAGAGAGGCTCCGCGAGCTGATAACCCACCTCCTAAAAGGCTTTCTCGCTCCCCCCCCCCCGAGAAGATATGATGACAACAGGATCTCGCTCCCGCCCACTCACTCGTCGAAGGATGATGATCGCAGATTATCGAAGTCCCAACTGAAATCCCGACCTCGATACGATGACTCGCGTAACTCCGGACACCTAGCTCCTCATCACCACCCTCATTCGGAGGGAACTTACTGCAAAGTTCATCGACCGAAGGATCGGGATTTTTGTCTTTCTTCCCGAAGTGATGCTGATCACCGCTCTCGCGAGGCTCCGAGCAGAGAGGCCGCTTTCAGAGCTCAAGCTCCACCTTTTTGAAGAGACTCCTTGCACCAGCTTCCACGAGATGACTCTGAGCATCACTCTCGAGAATCACCGAACAGAGATGCCCCGAACAGAACCTAAACTCCTCTAATTCGAAGCGGCTCCGCGAACCATTCTCCCCGAGATAACTCTGTTCACTGCTCTCGCGACATTCTGAGCAGAAATGCACCGAACAGAGAAGCTTCAAACAGAACCCTGTCTCCTCCATCTCGCCGAGGTTCTTCGTACCGTCGATCCAGAGATTCTCCAGCTTCTCCTACGCGTGAACCCCCAACGTCGAGACGAAGAATTCTGGCAAGCGATTCTAATGGTAATCCAGCTGTTAATCCACGCGATATCTCAGCTTCCAATCGCTGAGATCATCCTTCATCTTCAAATAATGGGCATCGCCCGTCAGCCCTAGAAAGACTGGAAGATCCTCGATCTCTGCATAATGATCCCCTCCCCTCTACAAATGTTATTGGTTCTATGAATTCTCCCAGAGACTGGGTCGAGAACGATGATCTCCTGGGATCTCCAAAACAGGTAGAGGAATCAAATCTCCAAATCGAGACCTCTTTTCAACACAGGAGCAAATTCCAAAGGAACCACTCCTTATCCGAAAACTCCTCTGAGGTGACAATCCCGGATCTTCCACCTCTGCATGGCGAGAAGATTTTGGCAACCTTTAGACTGGGGCCGCACACAATTCCAATAAAACAACGCCTGGAATTTCCCAGGAAAACTACTCCAAAGAGGAAGCTTGCAAAACCAGCGTCCAGATCAGTGGTAAAACAGACTACACAGTCTGCCTCAAAGAAGTTAGCATCGAGAAGCCCAATCCAGAACACAAAGTCGAAACGCAGAATCATGACTAAGAAGAACTCTCCTCAGAGGAGACTCGGTGCTGATCCAGCGAAACATCCTGCTGCAAATACTTCGAAGACCATGACAGTCTCTGCTGTAGTGTCTAATGTTGATCTTTCTAGTAGTGATCTTGTTACCTCTATCTCTAAGGTCTTAGTGCCTTCCTCTTGTAAGGGCTTGATGGTTGCCTAAAAACCATCGTCAACTCAATGATACAACCTGTTGGAACTGTCAAGGGATTGGAAACTACTTGACAGTTTGACGCCTAAGGGAATTGAGATTGAGTCTCTTCCCAGATATTATGTTTCTCGCTGAAACAAAAAAACCAAGATGATGTTGTTTTCAGCGTATTTTAGTGGATGGGTTATGATAATAGGTTTACGGTTTCTCCGATTGGACTTAGTGGTGGTCTAGCATTGTTTTGGAAGAAAGATACATATCTGGAGATTCTATCTTCTTCCCCGAACTTCATTGACACCAAAATTAAGTACAAGGCGAAAACTTTCTTTTTTACTTTCGTTTATTGTCATCTGGCAAGCCAAAGACGACAAGAAGTATGGAACCAGATCTCGGAACTAGGTGCAAATAGGGAGTCTGCTTGGATCCTCTCAGGCGACTTCAACGAGATTCTAGATAATTCATAAAAACAGGGAGGCCCAAGGAGGCACGAGGGCTCGTTTGTAAACTTTCGGAGTTTCATATCCCAAAACGGGCTATGGGATGTGAACTTCTCCGGCAATCCACTATCATGGCAAGGCATGCACTACGACCAGTTCATTTGAGCGAGATTAGATTGATCCGTCTTGAATGATGCTTGGGTGGAAGCATTCCCCTCGGGTAGATCGGAATATCTTTGATACGAAGGATCTGACCATCGACCGCTGGTCACCTTCCTTGACGATTCCAGGATCAAGAGGAGAGGTATCTTCAGGTTTGACAATAGACTGCGGGAGAAAGAAGAAATTATGGAACTCATTGGCCAAATTTGGAGGATCTCAGACGAGATACAATTTTTACTAAGATTTCCAACTGCAGACGGGGGATCATCAGGTGGACCAAAGCCCAGAACATGAACAGTGCAAAACTTATCTCTGATACGCAGACAGAACTGGAAAGAGCCCCAGCAGACCTCCAAGACCCCGATGTCATAGGTCGCTGTACGGAGACCCTTGAACAAGCATACAAAGCAGAGGAGCAATTTCGGAAACAACGGAGCCGAATCCTTTGGCTCCAGAGTGGAGATCGCAACACCGGATGCTTTCACACAGTCACACGAAACCACCGTACATGTAACAGATTTAATGGCCTATAATAGGGCAGGATGTTGTCAAAGAAATCCAAGAGTTTTTCATCTCCGGAAATTTCCCCTCGCATCAGAATGAGACTCACATTCGCCTCATCCCTAAGATCCTAGGGCCCCGAAAAGTCTCGGATTATCGTCCCATTACTCTATGCAATGTCTACTACAATATCATTGCTAAAATTCTCACCAAGCGTCTTCAAGGGATTCTTCCAACTCTGATTGCAGAGACTCAGTCGGCTTTTGTCCCGAACAGAGCTATCTCCGATAACGTCATGATTACACATGAGACTCTTCACTACCTGAGGACGTCAGAAGCAAAGAAGAGATGCTTTATGGCTGTTAAGACGAACATGAGTAAAGCCTATGACCGAATAGAGTGGAACTTCTTTCGAGCGGTGCTGGAGCGTCTGGGTTTTCATCCCACATGGATCAAATGGATAATGGAACGCGTTACGACAGTATCATACTCTTTCCTTATTAATGGAGGACCACAGGGAAGAGTGCTTCCTTCATGTGGACTTAGACAGGGAGACCCCCTCTCGCCCTACCTCTTCATTCTCTGCACAGAGGTGCTAGCAGGACTCTGTCGTAAAGCGCAAGAGGATGGTTCTTTGCCTGGCATTCGAGTTTCACGAAACAGCCCGCAAGTTAACCATCTTCTTTTTGCCGATGACACTATGTTTTTCTGTAGATCAAATCCCACCAGCTGTGCGGTACTTGCGTCCATTCTCAGGAGGTATGAAGAGGCGTCGGGCCAGAGTATCAACCTCGCTAAATCTTTGATCACCTTCTCGGCAAAGACCCCCCGATATTTGAGAGACACGGCTCACCGCATCCTGCGAATTCAAAATGAAGGGGGCACAGGAAAATATCTAGGCCTCCCGGAGAACTTTGGGCAAAAGAAAAAAGATATCTTTGCGAGCCAGGTAGATCGTATCAGATAGAGATCTCACAGCTAGGCCTCGAGATTCTTATCGGCTGCTGGCAAGCAGGTCCTACTCAAATCAGTTATTTCGGCAATGCCTTTGTACTCCATGTCCTGTTTCAAACTCCCCAAATCTCTCTGTAAGCAGATTCAATCAGTTCTAACACGGTTTTGGTGGGATGACAAAGTGGACCAACGAAAGATGAGCTGGGTTTCCTGGAACAGACTGTCGAACCCAATAAATGCAGGCGGCTTGGGTTTTCGAGACATAGAACGTTTAATGACGCCCTCGTAGCAAAGATTAGAGCTCGACTTATTACCCACCCGCATACACTAGTTTCTAGAGTCTTGCTGGGGAAATATAGTCACAATACACCATTCATGGAATGCTCAATACCCTCCAATCCATCTCACGGATGGAGGAGTATTCTCGCAGGGAGAGAGGTCCTCCATATAGGAATGGGGTGGCTCGTTGGGAACGGAGAGTCAATACGAGTTTGGTATGATCCCTGGTTAAGCTCGTCGGAACCACTCTGTCCAACTGGCCCTCCACCGCTCGAGCTACAAGACCTCAGGATATCAGACCTGATTGACCATGACCTTAATGTGTGGAACTGGACGAGGATCCTAGAGACCATTCCTGACTTCGAACACCAGATTCGCCTTATCCCCCTCAGCGCATCTAAGCTAGCTGACAAGCTAGTATGGCTCCCAATGAAAAACAGACGGTATACGGTCAGGTCGGGCTACGGTATTACGGCTTCTGATCTTATTCCGGAGAGACAAAGGAATTTCAATTGGCAACAAAATATTTGGAGACTCCGAGTTGCCCCCAAGATCAAGCATCTTCTCTAGAAAGCAGCGTCTGACGCTTTACCGGTAGGAGTACAGTTGGTAAACCGTGGAATTCAGGTGGACTTTGCCTGTAAGGTATGCAGGGCACCTGAAACGATTACCATGTTCTCAGAGATTGCCAATTCGCGCGGAACACATGGGCGCTTGCCCCCCTACGCGACCAGAAACACCTGAACACGGTCCATGTACTCGACTTCCTTCACCTAGCGAGATCTCTAGTTCCCCTTCCTCCTTCGGGGCTATCTGCGACGGCCCTCCCGGCGTGGATATGCTGGAATCTCTGGACGTCCCGTAATCAGAGGATTTTCTCCAACACTACCTTCTCCGAGCAAGAAGTTATGACTAAGGCTATTTTCAGATGCCAAGATCTGGCAAGAAGCTCAGCAACAAAAGCCTCCTACTCTGCCATCCATGACTGTCTCACCCCCGCCCATAGAACCTTCTATCGTGGATGTTATGTCGATGCCGCTTGGTAAGATGCCTCACAGTCGTGTGGAATGGGTATTATTATCAAGCTAAATGAGGAGGAACAAACTCAGAGCATCGCGAGTTCCCGGCGGCATGTTGCTTCCTCCCTCGCAGCTGAGGCATGGGCGATCCGGGATGCCATC